CCAATCTATTCTTCACTCTTCTCTGCCCAGCCAGGAGGCTGTCCTTGAATACCGCCACCCTGGCTCCCTGCAGGTGGTTGATGAGAGGCACTGGCGGGAGGCTGCAGGGCAGGAGGAGGGAGAGGTGGGTGTTTCTTCCCTGAAGTGGCAGGTGCGTGTGGCCTCCTCGGCCCTAGGCACCCTACGGAATCCCCAGACAGTGCATACTTGGCCACCCCATAGCCTTCGCCTAGACCTTCAGGAGTGGACTCTTTCCAGCCAGCACCACGACTGACACATTTCCCTTTCCACGTGCCCTCCCAATCAGCCCCTGCCTTTCACGCTCTTTCCCTCTGACAAGCTTCCCCGTTGACTTGCAAACCAGTGCCCCTCCCCAGGAAGCTGGGCGACAGAGCAGAAAGTATACTTCACACCACCTGCCAGGGGGCCCCGCCCCGCCCCCGCGGTGACACTCACGTTGTCCCGGATGTTGATGTCCGAGCCCTTGGACAGCAGCAGCTTCACCAAGTCCACGTGCTTGTACTCAGTGGCCCAGATCATGGGCGTCCAGCCACCATCATCCTAATTTCAAAAGAACGAAATTCCAGCGCTGGCACAGAGGGCGATCTCCCTCGGCCTGCAGGCCGCCCGTCGTGCCGCGCTGACAAGGAAACCGAAGCTCAGGGTGTCTTGGCGAGGGCAGGACAGAGCCAGGACTGGCCCCGACTGACCCACAAACCCCTGAACATGCCCGTGCACGCGACCAAGTCACAGGAGAAAAGAACAGCCCTGCTGCTGACCAGCCTGCCCAGGGCCAGGGTCGGCTGGAGGCGGCCACTGCAGGGATGGTGTCTGCTCCTCCCTCTGGTCCCAGTGGCCCCGGACACTGAGCACGAAGCAAGAGCGTCGGCGAGAACTGCACATGGAGACCCGGGGCGCAGCGGGGGAGGGGTGAGGGGCGGGAGGGGGTGGCTCACCTGGCAGTTGACATCCATCTGCCCATTTGAAAGCAGGTACTGAACCACCTCGTAGTGGCCTTTCTTGGCAGCCAGGTGCAAGCAGGTGGAGCCCTCTGCATCCTGCAACACAAAGTCCAGGGGTCCAGACACCTGGACGTGCAGGCCGCCTGACGTGGGGGCGGAGGCACTAGAGATGGAAAACCTTGCGGGGGTGGGGCCTTGCTCAAGGTCACAGGCCGGGACCCCAGCCCTGCCCACAGCCCGACCAGCTCCTGACGACACTGACAGCTCTCAGCGAGTCTCCCGCCTCCGTGGTGAAGTGTTCTAAGCGTGGCGTGCTCTGGCCGCTGTTGTACATGTAACTGCTTCCTGAACTTCCTTTCTGGATGGTCCGGCAACAAGTGCAAAGAAACACTCCTGCCTGTGTCTGCACTGACTCTGCTCTGTGGCTGTATTCTTCACCCGGGGATCGT